ACTTTCATGGTAAATACTGCAGTAAAAAACTTAACTCATAAATATAAGTTTTAAAATAACTCTCATTTATTTGAAAATAATATTTGTTTGCTTAACATATGTCAAAGCCTAAGTTCTTGATTTATTAACTTGGTTTCATTAAATAACTTTACGTTAATAAATTTTGTTATTATTAACTTTATACATTGTATTTCATGCCCATCAACAATATCATCATCATGATCTCCAAAAAGATCATAAATGTTTTGAGGTAAATTTAATAAAATGGAATTACTTAACTTTAAAAGTATGTTCTTGTTATTGAATAATACATTTTGTTGTTTATAGTCTCTAATAATTTTTTCTCTAATTAAGTAAAGTTTGACTACAAACTTAGAAGTTTTAGTCATAAATCCCATATGTCTTTTGTATCTGTAGCATTGAAATATTACTAGTTCCTTCTACTATATTTAAACAAAATTGACAAGTAATATTAGTTTTTAGAAAATAGTAGTTAGGTAGTTAAATACATGTTGTCTAAGTTCGCAACGTCTATAATGTCTAGTCCCAGTAAACAAATTTGCGTTTCAGAAACATTTCTGATACATATTATTGAAACATGAAACGTTTCTTCGACATATTTCTGAAACATAGATGAAACGTGTCTGAAACTGCTAATGTCCGACCCTTTTTATGTTTTATTGAAACGTTTCTATTGAAACGTTTCTGCAACATACAGCTGACAATTACGGTACACTACTAAAATGTTTCATTAATGGTTTTGAATTATTTCTGTAATGTTTTGTTTACATTTACATTACATTAATAGTATGTATCATAAACATTTAAAAATAATTTCTGAAAGGTTTCGTTGACGTTTCAGGGATGTACATATGTATGTAAAGATATAATTTCGTTGAGGTGTAGCGTCTGCATCCTGGACAAGATGCTCATACATGCTTCCTCAAAAGATATGCATATGCTGAGGAAGCATTTCTGAGCATACCACCCAGGGCGCAGACGGTGGACGCTGCAACAAAATCATACCTTAAGGTAGGAAAAATAATAATAGAAGTACGATATGGTACGATACTTGTTACTTACCGCCTACTGTACCAAATTTCAAAATTATCAGTCAATAATTTCTACTATTCTGTTTTCTCATTGATTAGGACATATAAAGTAAGTATAAGAGTAGGTATGCATTAAATATATTTAGTAAATATGTATACAAAATATATTAAAATGGTAACTAAAATAAAATTCTTATTTGTAAACAAATTAAACATAAACATTCCAATAATTTATGTAGGTCATTTAAATATAAAGTTAAATTTAGATCATATTAGTGGTATTTTTAATTATTTTTACTTCTGTTTATATATGAATAACCGAAAGAATTTTTTTTTCTCAAACGAAACATTGTTTCAATTAAAACACATATATTTGTGATGTTTCGCCAGAGATCCCCAGCTTCTTCAGACTACAAGTAAAGAATACCTATAATATATTTAATAATAATAATTATAATAATATATTTAACATTTTTTTTATTTTACATTAGTTATTGGAGATATCACATGTTGTAAAATTCTTTTTATGGAGAGAAACTATCAGTATTACAAAATAACTTACAAAAACAGTTACATGACAATTTACATGTCAGATAATACAATAAAACAAGTAATGTACCACAAACGATGTACTACAGTCGTGGAATTGTTTATTTTTCTTGATAAAAAGAATTTTACAACATGTGGTCTCACTTATAACAATAAGACTTTTACAAAATAAATAGGTCTTCTTTACTTGTAGTCTGAAGAAGCTGGGGATCTCTTTCATCATCTTTTTATGATTGTTCAAGACTAAGAAATTTAACTAAAATTTAAATAACCTACATAAAACTAAAACATAAAAGTACAAAACTACATAAAATATACATATATGGAGAAATGGCAACACAAAATTTTTAAATTTGTTTCATATTTGAGATGCGATTCTTGCACTACGTTTTCCGTATTGCGACGAGTAAACGAAAGAAAGAATACTAAAAGAAAATAACAATATTCTTTATTATCTCATCTGCAGTTTCCTTATTTCGCCTATTATAACGTAAATTCGCTTGTCGTAACCAATTGCTTACTACCACTTCATATTCTTTATCAGTTAAATGGAAGCTCTTCCTAACTGCCACTAAAATGTATGTTTAAATTAGAATTCGGTCATGGAAAAAGTTTTAAACTCCTCCTTAACCAACGCGATTTATTCGCTGTAACGGCGATTGTTTCGCATGACGTTGTCGCCAGGTCAACACGGAGCCGCGGCAAATGAACATACCCAGACCGACGCGAAAGTATCGCTACACCCACGGTTTTTGTCGTTGTCACCTGACAGTTGAAAAAGTCGGTTTGGGCACGTTTGTGCATGTTCATTTGCCGCCGTGTCGACTTGGCGACAACATTATCAAGCGTAACAATCGCCGTCGCAGCGAATACATCGCGTTGGTTAAGGAATAACTTTATGTCAATATAATATTCTTCGGTTAAATTCAATCACAAGATTTAAGTCACCATTTTAAACAAGAATGTTTTTAGATAAATTTAAAAATAACTAAACCTAGTGGTGATATATAAAAAAACTTATACGAAACTTACCTGCGCCATTCTAAACCAATATTCGAGCCACAGAACAGATATATAGAAAACGATTCGAAGGAACTGAGAACAGAACTGAACAGAACAAAACACACAATAGAACAAGTCGTGACAAGACGCTGATGAGTCACCGCGTCCTGGAACATGCGCATACGTTCACAGGCGCTGATGAAGATATTCAGACATGTTTCAGACACATTTGTAGAGAAATGTTTCAAATGAAATGTTTCTGCTACATATTTTAATGATATTTCATAAATATTCCTACTGAAATGTATTTGATACATATCTTTAGATACGTTTCGTAACAATCGTATCTGTCACGTATATGAAACGTAGCTGTAAAATGTTTCATTTAATTCATTGTACGTTAAAATTGAAATGTTTCACAGATGTTTCTTGTTTACTGGGGTGTTTCAATTTCATCATTTTTATTTTTGAGTATTGATGAACAATTTAAAATATTAGTATAATCTCATGCAATTGTATTTTCAAATTCTGCCCCTTTACTGCCGGTATGTACTAATAGTTTTTTGTATTCTTGTTCAAATTGTAGTGCAGTATGATTGTTACAATACAACGTCGCCTAACTACACTAAAAAAATCCTTAAATAGTTTTGTGACAATTTATAGTTAAATATTTTTTTTTTCTATCTTTAAGAAAACTGAAATCATTTTGAATAAAATCTTTTTTCAGAAAAATATACTGTATTTTTCGGACTATAAGACGCACCTCAAATTTAGAGACGATATATTGAAAAATATATTTTAATGGTACCTTCGGACCATAAAAACACCCAAAATTACACAAGCCTTGTTTACTTAGGAGAGAATTATTCATTTATTAGGGTTCGGTAAACATGGATAAACATTAATCGGGTAAATTTATTTTCAAAGGAACCATTAAAAGATTGGCCTGTTCAGAAATACTCGGTGATCGTCGGCTAGACGGTCCGATCTGAGCGCGTCCCGTTTCATCCCGTTCTGGACTGAGTGAAAACGTAAACAAACCACATCGAACCATACGAACCATCGAACTATACTAAAGTTCTGTGGCTTCAATCTCGTATACGGGCGGAGATAGGCAATGCTGCATCTAGTTATACAATTTCTTTGGGTTGTACTATCTAAGATGAGAATTGGGTTCACATTACGCTTTTTTTTAAATATTTCATTCAATTCCTCAACATATTCAAATACCTTCCGACAACTGTCCGTTTTACTAGTGTTATCTACATATTTTTTATAATTTTTTTCAATCACTCGCCATCTGTTTTCACAGTGGCTTGGAGTAAAACATAATTGATGTTCAAATGTAAATAGTTCTGATATGGTTCCTGATAGTTTCTTTAATGTTCGAATTTTTTCAGTTCCTATTCGGTCTCTATGTATTTTGTAATAATTGATTAAGAGTCTAGTCTCATTATAAGACCAAACTTTATATTCACTTGGGTTAAGTTGGTTTTCCATAGCTTGAATTACTTCTCCTAAATCTAAAATAAGTACGTAAACAAGAAAAAATTAAATTTGCTTTCTCTTTGCCCATAATATTACTTACATTGGATTTTCCGTCTTACGTCTCTTCAAACAAAATTTAAGATTATATTATGACTTATGATAATTACCTGATTCTGTCACGTTCGAGCAGATGACAATCACAAACAAATTGGAAACTGTATTTGAAGTTTACACATGCGCACTAAAAAGTCCAAAACAATTTGTGAACTGTATGCCAAAACAAACCTACAATATTATCTCTTTATTGGATTGTAATCCGTGGGGATAATACAGATTATTATTATTATTATCTCAACTAGGTGTAAACGCTTAACAGAGTGCCTAAGTCTGACGTCACAGAGATGGGCGGAGCTTATATAAACTCCAAAGAATTTCATTGCTAGCCACAGTTGCCAACAATAAATCGCTATAAAAATGTCACTTTATTTTATTTTAACACTAATTGAAAAATTGCATATGGCGATTTATCGTTAGCAAAGAAAATGTTTGGAGTCAGTATAAGCTCCGCCCATCTCTGTGACGTCAAGGCTTAGGTTGTCTAAATTGTTTAAACTGTCAATTTTTTTACATTTAAACAATTTTTTTCTTATACAACCATATGATTTGATATGTTCATCAAGGTCATCCTTAGGGATTTATCTTCTACCAAAATATGCAAAAAAACCTATCCAGTCGATTTAAAATAACAATGTTGGTTGCCATAGCAACGAAACAAAAAACAATGCAAACAAGCAAATATCGCCAAAAAAAGGCCCCACAATTAATAAAGAATTTTTTATTTGAAACATTTCTCTTTAAAACCACAAATGGCGAAGTTATTGGTTATATTCCAGACATTTGACACATTGTATACTATATTCCATACATAATGGACACTCTGTATATGAAATTCCCGGTATAAATCTTTTAAAATATCATATTTTCACTCCAATACTCCAAATTAATCTTTGGTATTTCAGAACAATCCACTTTTTCATTCCTAAAATAAAAAAAATTAGCTTCTTCAAAAATCAACATTTTAATCTTACCCAAAATCGGTCATCTTAAAAACGTTCCTTTGAATTCTTTTAATGTTACTATTAACACAAAATATCCCGGCTAAACTCACATTTTCAATTTCTTTTAATTGATCGTGCGTGAACGGTTTTGGTTGATTTTTATTCGTATAAAAATATTTATCACCTCTTTGTGATCTTAGAAATTGCTCAGCAATGATACAGGAGAATGTAGGTCCTAAAATTCCATCCGGATAACTTGTTTCTGCAACTCCCCCAACGAATAAATCAATTTTTTTTGGGTTGTTGTAGAGTTTCATTAAATTTTTTATGGTTTCATTCGATATTAGCGGGTACAAATCATCAAAAGTATTAACTTCTTTTAATCCGCAAAGTTCCCTGTAGTTAGTGTAAGGTAATAAACCGTGATCGCGACCTCTTTGAATTATTAAACTTATAAAATCTAAGCCGTAATTGTTTTTTTCAAGGAAATGATTTTTTATATTATTTGGAACATTTAAATCGACTCTTTGAATCGGCTGGGTTGAAAGTGTCATCAAAAACTTATCAAAATTTTTAATATCCATTAAAAATTCTTCCCCAAAAATTTTTTTCAAATCAATTTTTTCGTTCAGGTTATTATTTTCATCGTATAAATTAATTGTTTCATCGTACGCAGTTATAAAGAATTTAGACGCGGCTGTTGCAAAACTATTACTAACTCTCGGATCGACATCTTCGTCAAATTGCTTTTCTAAATTATCATTAATCGTTTTTTTATAAAAGTTTTCGCCTAAAATAATAGGCAAAAACTCTTTGTAAGTAATACGTTGTATTTCAGCGATGACAATCCTTCTTGTTTCTTCGAATAGCTCGTTATCGTTCCAATCTTGATTTATGTTTTTTAATTCTTTTGCGATACGATTGTGTTCGCGTAAAAATAAAGTATGTAAAGTTGTTAATAAAGGTTGGGAATTTAATCTTGGTTCGGCTCCATCAAAACAAGTTGAATTACACATTTCATTTGAATTAGTAAATGGTAAAAACATTCCATTATTAACTTGGAATTTCAAAAATCCGTCTTTGTGTAATCGTAAATCATGCGACTTTTTTGAATCACTTCCATAAATATTTGAAGCATCCAAGTAATGCGTCGCTTGATTCATCTAAACATTAAAAGAATTAATTGTTATTTTATGTAATTCTTTTGGGTATTTACTTGTTCTATTCGACCTAAAGTGCAATCATCTGAGATTGCAGGTAGAGATCTTACATATGAAAGACATTTTATGTTAAATTTTGAATAGAAATCGTCGTTATCTGGGATTTCTATTGGTAAACAAAACGGGTGTTGATGTCTAGGGGGGAGTTTATAACCATCGGGGGCACAACAAGTAATATTTTTGGAGTTATGCACTAAAAAAAAATATTTAAAAAATAATTTAATATTTTTAAAAGTAATTACCCATTTTTCTTGAAACAGTATGAAATAAATCGTTGAAAATAAACTCTGCCCATTCAATTAAACTAAAAGTGAATCTTCCATCAAGATTATTTTGATTTTGAAATAAATCCAAAGAGATTTTTCTTGGTGATAAATACGAAGATGTGATGAATTCCAGACCATCCCAATATATCGTTGAATTAACCAAGCGTTTATAAGCTGTTTGACTTTTACCTTTAATCGGATTATTTTTGTGGTTACAACTTCCATCAATCGATCGATAAATTGGATTATTTAAGCAGGTGTTATTTATATTTTCTGAACGAATTGAGCAATACGGAATATATTCGTCGAGTTTTATCGTTGATAAAAGATTTAAACATTCTTCGTTTTTATGAACAAGATTCAATCTAAAAAAATAAGATAAATTTAAATTTTAAATAGGTTAGTTTTATTAAATTTGATATATCGATAAAGTAGAAAATTTTAATTTAGTGAAGTTAGCCACAAACAAAATTTAATTATTAAATATTTACCTTCTACATAATGTTTGTTTTAGTTGGTTTGTTGTTAATTTAATAAGATAGGCGTAATAAGCTTGGTTTAAAGCATCCTGATCGGGAGCATTTTGCAAAAAAAGTTTAAATTCCAAATTAGTTTTTTTTAAATTGACCCCGGCCCAATTTAATCTTGTTTCTAAATTCTCAGATTTCCCCAAAATTAATTTTGCGAAATCTATCGTGTCTTGTAATTCATCTTGCGATATTTGAACGTTTTTAAATGTATCTAAAATCATTTTGTTATGAACGAAACAATTAAATAATCAAACAAATACATACCATTGTTTAAATTATCACTAGAAGCAATGCTGGATAATAATAAACTAAGCGATATTAACGGAATCAAGTAATAATCCATGGTCATATCAGAGACGTTTCTGAAAGGCAAATAACAAGAATGTTTATTTTTAAGAGAAGAAATAGACCTAATTTTGTAATAATTATTGAACGAAACGATAACATTTTGATCTTTTTTAAAGATTTTCTCGTAATAAAAACAACTTACTCTCATTAAACTTTTTTTAACACTAATTTATATTGTAAAAATTGAATTAATATTATTAAATAGTTATGTTAAGAGTTAGATACGCTTATAACTCGTTTATAAAGTCTACTGGCAGACGAAATACTCGATGGATGCTTATATGACCTGTAAAGACCGACCATGCGGCGATCACGTGAAAACCAGCAACCGCATTGCCCTTTAAATTTAACAGTTACAGAAAACTGTGTAGTCACCAAAAGTTAATGTTTAAAGGTGTCCAAATATTTCGGGAGTTAATTATTTCGGGTATTAATGACTTCTACTCATTATCGATTATCTACAATTACTAATTCCTTTATAACTAAATGATTTTATTAATAGGTTAAAATTACTATTACAAAATTAGTTTCGTTACGTGATAAAGGTTTAAACTGTTTTTATTTGATTAAAAACCATTAAAACAATTTGAGAGAAAAGGAGGGCGCACTGTAAATGGAAACGTTTTGACAACCGACTTGACTACCTCACTTTTTCAATTCTATGGAATCCTGGAAGTATCTAATCCATCTTAATTACATGGAGCATGTCAGAAGAGCTGAAAGCAATATCCAATCTAATCCAAAGGTTTTTGGGCTTTTACTAAGTTTAAGCAGAAGCGTGCGGATGTCAGTCCTTCTACACTGTTGTCGGTGACGGTGTCGAAGTATGCTCATTCTTCGAGATTGTGTGGAAACGGATGCCCTTCCTTTGAGCCAGATGCAGTTTGACAGGATTGAGGTTGAGGAGGCCCTGATGGGCATCAGGGTGTCAATAAATTTAATTCTCCAATGCTTGACGATTCTATAGGTGTTTATGTTTCTCCGAGATTACTTCGCTTTGGCTTTCTATTTATTACAGCTACTCCTAGACATTGAAAACATGGCGATCGAGTAGATAGCACGCATGTTGTGGCTCTGATCGTTTATTAAATTAAAACAAGTTGTGTCTTATCAAAAAGTTCCCAGTACACAAGTGATACCGCATACTATTCTTTGTGTGATAGTGCAGTGCTTCAAATTCCCTTTCTTTTATTCTCATCTTATTTAATCTTAAATTTATAAATCTACCACATCATGGTTTTATCGCGATCACAAACAACGGAGATAGAAGAAATTATTGTCGAGGTATTTCAAACGAGGGAAATCTTACAATTAGAACAGATTACTCTCGCAATTACGACCATGGTGGAAAAACAATTACAAGTTGTTATCAATAAGTATGAAGAAAAAATTAAGGTTTTAAATGCGGAAGTACACCCATACCTCGCTTTACGGCCTAGGTGGGATCAATTATTCTAATACATCGAAAAATAGTATATTATTCAACAAGCGTATAATGGCGGCTGTTACCCACGAAGAAGAAGTTGCAACACGAGCGAGCGAAGCGAGCGAGTGTTGTAATCTGAGTGGGTAACATCCATTATACGCAAGTTGAATACTATACTTTATCTACAACTATTTAATTTTGAAAAAAAAAATCAAAAAAACGAAAAAAAAATAAACTTGATAGACATTTCAGACATAACCTCAATATAAGAAAGCTGTCATTTCTGTTAATATTTTATTTTTTGATTAGTAGGCAGTGTCAGAAGTGTGGAATAATGGCCTCATTATTCAACACTTTGTCTGTCATGGGTAATGAGTGTCATTACCCGTCAAAAATCAATTGTATAACGAATAGATAATTCAATAGTTGTAGATAAAAGTTTTTTTTTGACGTTATAGCGAAATATTTTAGGCCGTAAATCGAAAACGTGCCTTAATTAAAGAGGGCCGCTATAGCGAAATGCTGTATAAAGAGCGGCCGTATAGGGAGGTATGGGTGTAGTTGATTTGAGGAAGGAGAATGGTGAGATAAGGATGGAATGTGCCAAAAAAGTTGACGAGTTGGACCAATACAGTCGTAGGAATAATGTACGTACGTCTCTTCGGAGTCGAGGAGAATGACGAAAAAGATGTTGTCTCTCTTGTAACGGATATTTTCTTTAAACACATGGGACACATGGCTATCAACATAATACCAGCTGATATTGATGGTGTCATCGAACCGGTAAAAAAACTACTTTGTCAAGCGCGACGGAAAATGATTCTTCTACCAAGAAAGAGGGAAGAGCGCGTCTTATTCTAATTAAGTTTTTGGGATACGGAAGTAAGAGGGAGGTGCTACGTGGAAAGAAGGGGCTGAAGGGACGTTGTACAGTGTTACCGAGGGAATTACCCGGGACCGGTTAATTCACCTCTGTCAAGTTGGCACTACATCTTACGATTTGAATAAAAAAAATTATTGCATTAATTGTCGCTTAATTTGTTGTAATTTGTCGTAAAGTTAACAAATTTGTCGCGTCCTTTTTTATAAACAATATATGAAATGTTGCATTTTTGAGGTAGTGCTAACTTGACAGTGGGAATCTATGGTAAAGAGTGGAGATAACAAAACACTAATGACGTCATAAATTGTCGCTTAATTTGTTATAATTTGTCGTAAAGTTAACAAATTTGTCGCGTTAATCGCGTGATGCAGTAAGTAGATCTAAAGGCCCATACAGACACGTTTAATAATTTAGTCGAGTAGCGAGTAGCCACTTACCACTGGAACGTTTAGTAGAGGGCAACTGTCCACATTTAATACGCTCAAGACACTTTAGTGGTACTCAAGATGAACAGACGACGTCATCGCTCGCAATACAATTGCTAATTCACCAAACTAAATTTATGCGTTCCCTCGTGTTTAGTGGTAGTTGTGAGTAGTGGGGGTACGCTACTCGACCGAAAAAATAGAATCAAATGGATCTACTCGACTACATCGTTTTAGTAAACTACTCGACTAAATTGTACTGTCGCACGTGGCGAGTTACTAAATTACTAAACGTGTCTGGACGGGCCTTAACTGATGCTATACATCAGTTAGAAAAACAGGATAATATGATAGTAACGTGCGAATTGTTCATAGACGCTGAGTATGTACAGCTTCCTAGGGGCAAGTCCAGACGGTTTAGTGGAACAAGGAGTTGTTGTGGAAAAAAAATGCCCTTGCTTCGCATACCATATGCATCCCAAGGATGCCATAAAACAAAAAAGATTTTTGGAAATGGAATCAAGAATAAATAAATGGTACTATCAAGTACAAGGACAGTTGAAAATTACCAACAGAAAAGGATGCATATTTGTGGTATGGACCTGGTATGGACCGATATAAACTATCCATTACAAGTTTCATATACAGGGTCATCCATGACGACCGTCCATTAGAACTTTACAGGGTTCTGGCCAAAATAAAAATTTGGAAATTCAGATTTAAGTATTATTGCGTTCTCTTCCACTAAAATATTTTCAGATATCTAACACTTCCGGTTATACCGGAAGTCGCCACCTACTTTATTTTTTTAAATGGAACAACCTGTATATTTTTACATATTTCGATTTGTCTGTTTTCAAGGTTTATGAATGACTTTACTTTTTGCCATTTGATTCTGCCGTTCTCGAGTTATTCGAATCAGAGAACACTCGATTTTTGGGATATCAATTTAGGATTCAGAACATGCTTAAGCAACATGATGTAGTATGTTTTGGTGCCCAGTATGGCTGTTTAGAACGTTTGGTCACTTTACTATGGCACGTTACCTTTTCGAAACTTGGAAGTACCGTAACTTCATTTCTTTAAATGGCACCCCCCATATTTTATTACTTAGTCGTCTTCGTGTCTCATTTTACATCTTTTATATCCCATATGTCCTATACCTAACATTTATAGTTTAGGAAATAATTAGGGTTTTTTGAAAAATGCACACATATATAGATATTTAACCTAGTGTGTCATGAATACCTAGTGCGACCTAGTGAATAACCGAATGAAGTGAAGGTTTGAAAATTTGTACTTGTGATGCTTGATGTCAGCTTTTTAACTAAAGTATTTTCAGGTACTGGGTACTTGTGGTTACACCGGAAGAGTTGACAATTTTTATATTTCAAATGGAACACCCTGAGTTTTATAACATTTTTCAATCAAAAATGTCAACTACAACGTTACTTTTTATAATTTATAAATCATCTACTTTGACCGCCGGAATTTTGTACTGGGAATGTTGTTGTGGTTATGTATTATCAGAGGATCAGTAAGGAAAGAGTAAACAGTTTGACATTTGCTAAAGCTATGGTTTATTTCTGTTGGAGTGTAATTGGAGTGTAATCAGAGGATCAGTAAGGAAAGAGTAAACAGTTTGACATTTGCTAAAGCTATGGTTTATTTCTGTTGGTGTGATGACTAGGTTACTTTTTGTAGTGATCTGTTCTTAAGAAATGCCACGTTTGGAATTTAGTAATGAGGATTATTTGAATTTGATAATAATTTATGGAGAGTGAATTTATCAAAAATGTTATGAAATACAGGGTGTAACCGCAAGCATCCGGAACCTGAAAATATTTTAGTAAAAAGCTGGCATCAAACATCAGAAGTCTGCAAATTTTCAAAAGGCCAGTTCATACGGTTATACACTAGGTCACACTAGGTATTCATGACACACTAGGTTAAATATCGATATGATATGTGTGCATTTTTCAAAAAACCCTAATTATCTCCCAAACTATAAATGTTAGGTATAGGACATATGGGATATAAAAGATGTAAAATCAGACACCGAAGACGACTAAGTAATAAAATATGGGGGTGCCATTTAAAAAAATGAAGTTATGGTATTTCCAAATTTCGAAAAGTTAACGTGCCGTAGTAAAGTGACCAAACGTTCTAGACCATAACATACTCCATCATGTTGCTTAAACATGTTCTGAATCCTAAATTGATATCCCAAAAATCGAGTGTTCTCTGATTTATTGAACAAATGTCTGCTGGAGCAGATTTTTCTAGAAAAATTCGAATAACTCGAGAACGGCCGAATCAAATTGCAAAAAGTAAAGTCATTCATAAACCTTGAAAACAGACAAATCCAAATATGTAAAAATATACAGGTTCTATTTAAAAAAATAAAGCAGGCGACGACTTCCGGTATAACCGGAAATTCTAGAAATCTGAAAATATTTTAGTCGAAGAGAACGAAATTAATAATACTTAAATCTGAATTTTTAAATTTTTGTTTTGG